TGATGTATTGACAACAAATTAAGATTAAAATCACTTAAATTAAACTAGTAGTTTCTTATTTATTGATGTTTTTATAGTTCGATCTGGATTTTTTCACCAAAACTGAAAATGTTGAATATCTCAGAAACTAGCCGCTTTCGAACCTAAGACCTCAGGGCAAATTTTGTAGGAAATTAGTTGTATTATCACCTTCCGAGAGAAATACATCGAGTTGCAAGTCACCCTGTATAATTTTTGAGGAATATTATACGTTTCTAATTTTTATTAATTTTCAAAATATACAATTACAAAAATTCTTATACCTAGAACAAGTGTTCAAAAATTGAAAACTTTGTACGCGCTAATGTACAGAAACACTGGTTTGAATTTCAACAATACTTTTGTCGAGAATAGTTAATTTCTCAAGGAACGTTATAAGCTCTAAAACAACACGGTAGATGTACCTGCTGTTTTCCCCGCAGCTTGGTTCCTACTGCATCCGCGTTATATTAAAACCGCGCGAGATACCAAGTATTTTTAATATAGCAAAACTGAAGAGTTTATTTAAACGCACTATTCTCCGGACTCACAAGTTTGAATTGTAAAAATCTTCTTGTTTTGGATTGTCATTTTATTGCGGAAGGCTATATATTATAAAACACATCACGCTGCGTCCAATGTAACCAAGAATTGTATTGTGAACCTGATTGAAAAAGAATAACCTATGGAGTTTCCTGCTCGTTCTTCTCCATAAGAATCTACACTTTGAAACGAGCAAATAGCTTCACTAGAGGACTGACCGACAGATGGACATTATTTAATATTTCAATAACTTGTTTTGACGTTCAAAAGTGGCTTCTTGGTCTAATTGAAATATTTTTTTTAATTTTGACTTTGATTTTGAAATAGGAGTCGAATAAAGCGCACTTCTAGAGCAGATTACTGTTCATAAAAGCAGTGTCCAGCTACTCCCGCGCAGTTCACCACTGCTCCTCTTCTATTGACCCTAGCTTGATGTTTTATGGCTTATATTTTCGTCAATAATGTGACTATCAAACACAAGCTGATATTATTATATTTAGTTATTTTGAACAATAAGATACTTCAATTTGATAATATTAAGGACAGATAATAGTTGATTAACAGTATAATTGTATTTGAAAAATAAATATAAATCTGAAAAAGACAATAAACTTCATAAATAAAAATATATAACAGTACATGTTTTGATGTAAAAGTACTCAATTATGAACGCATCATAATAATTTCTTATTGAAAAAAATTAGGTGGCATCTAATAATGTGGCCGACGACTGTAACTACTGACTATTGAAAGAATCTGACATTTATTGTTATTGTAACCTCTTTAAACAGTTTCTAGACTTGATTTCTGAGAGATGTGAATATGAATGAAATGGAAAATGCTGAAAAATTGCAGTTAGTGACACTATGATATTAGTGTATGCACAGAAATAAGAGTGTATGTATACCCTATAAAATAACCATAAGTATCAATGTTGTATGTCGCTATATTTTAAGGTAACAATATAATTAATTTAAATAAATGGTACTGGTGTTTTATTTTAAGTAGTTGGGATACATAGACTTTTGAGGGTAGAACATTAAAAGTTTGTATTGGGAATTACTTTTATAAAAAAAGTTCTTTGTAATAAGTCTACTTCTGTGTTTCTTATCATTTTAGTCAGTTAAGGGATAATTTCTAAGCTTACATCCAGTACTATTAAATTATACTATATGAAAGTACTATTTTGTAGGCTATTTGCAGAAAAATATCATTATAATCATTATCTTCGGTATCATTTGTAGCTTTATTAAAGTTATTCATTAAGGTAATCAGGCTAAGGAATTGGATACAAAAGCGCATGTAACAAGCGGTACCAAATCTTGTTACATGCTTGCTTATCATGCGCATTCTGGATCATACCTGCGCTTATCTAACTAGCGTCCAAGTGTTAGATGCAAAACCGGTGATCACCGTCCGAAAACATATAATATAGTATAGCTCCCTTTCGTGGTAACTAGCTGTACTACAATGTATAGCTCGATATATTACTTACATACATACATAACATCACGCCTGTCTCCCATGGGGGTAGGGAGAGACTAAGGAACGCCAATATATTAATATACTATGTACGTTATAACTAGCTATGATAGTCTGTACACATTTGTCAGAGACATCACATTCAATAAATCTGAACCTTTATTAAAACTGCATTCTCCAATTACTATGTGTGGAGATATAATTCCTAATGTAATGAAAACCATTAATAGCTCAACAGTAAACTCTTGCTGTGAACTGCACTATCGACGATGGTCATCACCACATCGAGAGTGATGACCCAGTCTCAAGCCTCATTATGCCATCTCGGCCGTTGAGTTTTATTACTGACTGATAAACACTAAGAGATAGTGTAGTGTAAAAGGTAGTATAGTACAGTAGTATCAAATGTTAAATGAATTTCAGAAATATGATAACTATTTAATTTATTGGTTATTCATTCAATGTGACCAGATTGGCGATATATTAAAGAAGGGCCAAATTAAAAGTACCCTTAACCGACGAGCATGCATGAAAAGATTGATGACTATTAATGAAGCGAAAGAGGTATGTAAGAATCGTAGTAATTGGCGTTCCTTAGTCTCTGCCTACCCCCATGGGAGAGAGGCGTGAAGTTATGTATGTATGTTATAGGTTATTCGTGTTTGGTCAGGAGAATCCTGCATCACATATTTAATTATTATAATATTTTGCTTAAAATTGCATTTTTAATGTTTATAAGGAAGTCTCAGGTGCCATAAAATGTTTAAGTGTCGATATTCTCACGGAAAATTTTATAACCTATGCTTATAACCATTTATGTTTATTTACTGCGACGGCTTTAGATACCCCTAAGAAAAGCTTTAACTATAATTTTCTCTGTAAAAATAAACCAACGTAGTGGAAAAACATATTTTTTGTTAAAATCGTAAATAATCGTTTCGTTTAATGTAAATAATATCGGTTTTACGGTTAATACATAAAAGTAGGCCACCGATCGATATTTTGGATATGGAAATGAACGAAATTAAAGTTTCTATCGTTCAATTATGTCCACATCCCCTCGGAATTTAGCTGCTGAAGCAATGCAATGAACTTAGCAAAGCTTGCAACCCCGGCAATTCGGAACTGAGAGATTTAAAGTTTCTAATAACTAACATCGTCAGAAATGTAACAATATACAAAACTTTTACTGTTTAAACACAAAAAAATTAGCATTTGCACCTCCTACTTTGCAGATCTTTTTTGGCGGGTTTCATTTTGAACGTTTTGTTGCCTTTCCGCTACGGTAGCGCCACAGTTGAAGGTGTCTCGACGCACCCCTCGAAATACTCAAAGATGGCTCCCCACACCCTCATCTGCGCAACATCCGTTTAGCACAGATACATATAACTTTTTAAAATGTAGACTGGAGTGTTTTGAGCTAAGGGATACCACGTGTAAGGGCTTTTAGAGAGTTTTTTTAATATCAGAACACTATATTTACAGTACGCCCAGAATATTTTAATGAGAACTTAATATTGATAAATACACTGAAGTATTCGTTAATTTAAGTTTGTTTACGTGGAATTGAGATGCAGATAAGATTAAAATTTAACTTCTGAAGTCTGAAGATGTGTCCCTGGCCTTAAAATCATTCATTGGCCGCTAATGTTACGACCAAGTTTTTGCGGTTTTACAAGAACATTTTTTCTGACAAATAACCAACACTTTTGCAAATACAGCCAATACCTGAAGCCAATCGTTTGAGTTGTTACTTGTGATGTTTGTTTATTTTAGAAACTAAAACAAAATAATGTGGTTAAAGTATGTGTAATAGAAGAATAAACATTAAGAAAATATCTACAGTAATAATAGTCTTTTAAGAGTAATTAAGTATAGACTTAATTAAATGTCTGACCCGAATCCCGTGAGTATAATAAAATTTTGTTTTGTTTACATTAGACATAATGTATTATGCAATGTTTGTTGTGACGCGCTCCAATGTTAGTAAACAAATCACTGCGACTTTACTACTGTAGTTTTCATGGCTGGTTCAAACTTATTTAAATGGAAGTCGTCGTAAGTTTTTAAAAGTTTGTTACATATTCATGAAGTTGAGTTCAGAGTGCCTTTTTTCATTTCTAACTAAGCCTACTATTTCTCGACCTATTGACCTCATTTTTTCAATAGTTGCTTCTTTAACCCAGTCAATTTTCTTTACAAAAAATCTAGATCAAGATATTTTTATCTAGACCAATTTTGAATTAAGGGTGAACTAAATTTGAAGTATTCAATCACTCACTCTGCCAATCGGTATCGTAACCGGAAACAGATCGGATGATTTATTACCTATGGCACTATTAAAAAGTTATGGTAAGGGCACGTCCATCTGGTTAGTGAAAACGTTGCGATTGGGTCGTGCGACTGACACTGAGGATCAGAAAGTTTGAGAAATAAAAAGCTTTTTATATATTATGTCCAGTAGTGAAAACAATGACAAAGGTAACTTGTTACTTTTGAAAATATCGTTTCTATGTGTTACAAAAATGCATATAAATTTTCATCTTGTTTCTTTGTCTTGGACATGTAATAGATATTATTTAGAATAAATATTTCATAGTAGTGGTTTAATAATACTAAAACAAAAGTTTCTTCCGTATACCACACGACAGTGACGTATTTTAATCACATAGCAACAGGCGGTCCATTGTGAACGCTCGGACAAAATGTGCACTTGCGCAATAGTAGTGCTGCATCAATCAATAGAGCCATCCCATTACGCTGCCAGGCCCGCCCGGTGGAAGTTCGTCGCGAGCCATCTTCTTGGCTATCAAAAATTTCTCGCTCGAAAAGGTCCGATAAATCCGTCAAGCTGTGTCGAAAAAATTCACTCGGTAAGTTTCCCCACGTAGACCTTACAGATTTTTCACGTTTTTTTCCAACTCTTCAACATCGCTTGCGGCGACCCCCGCTCCCCTTACCCACGTCTGCCATTGTCGAATTAATTATGCATTAGGATATGTTCACAAACGCTTTTGCCATCGATTTTAGATATGTACCATACTTTGTGTTAATATACTACGGCGGTTGTATGTATAATTCCTTTGTCTAAAAGTGCTGAGTAAGGGGGTATGGGCGTGGCCAATTATCGATTTTATCTGAAGTGCGTAATAAGGTAACAGTGAACTGTGCTGTGATATAATCTGCAACAAATGATTGCTCGCGCCATAAAAATCGGAAATAGAAGCTGCTCGCGTTAATTCATTGCAATTTTCCATAAACAAACTTAAAATCTTGACGCGACCTGATAGCCACTTATTGACAAGCCTTTGTTATAAAACTGAAATACACAACTATACACCAAAGCCAAGTAATTTTTTAAATTTCACGATAGTTTCTGTGCGAAGTTCAGGGCGCCTTTACCGACATTTAGTAGTCAACGTGTGATCTTTGGTAACAATATTATTATTTAAATTCCAGATATGACGGCCAAAGCCTCCAGCATGGCTAAGTGCCGCCAGTGGCGTAACGAGCTAGCTATGGCTAACCCGGATCCGACTCCGGTGTACGATATGTTCAAGGACATACCGCCGCAGCCGACCTATCCGACTCACGTCTACACTACCACCATTTGCTGTGAGAAGGAGAACTGTGACAAGGCGAAGCTGGAATCCATGCCGGAGCACTTCTTCTGTGATCCTGGTAATTATCACACTCTGTTATATGTAACAAACTATATAATCACGTTTGACAAATGAGGCTACACATTTTAATTTAGATTACATCTATTTTGCAGCTACCCCATATGGCGTGGCTCCTGAGTGCTACGAAAACGGCGAGGCCGCTGCTCCTCCTCTGGATCCGTACATCCAGGCTTACTGTCCCTGCCTGATCAACCGGGGCCAGTTGGTGACCATCTGCTGCGTTCGCCGTGACTGCGATGATTCTACCAAGATCCCAGGCGTAGGCCGCGAGCGCACTCGCAGCCCCAAGTCGTACAATAACAACCACCACAACAACAAACACCATAACAACCATTCCAACAATGGTCACAACAACCACCACAACTACAAATATTAAACTATTCTCGATCTCTCGGTGTTGTGAACAATGTAAACCCCAATCCTTATTCATAAATTCACAAAAACTGATCTTAATTTCACAAAAATCAATTTCTCGTTGATAGATAGCCAACTATGCACACTGTTTTTGAACACTTTTAACTAAATGTTACAATTTAGACACGAGTTTACCTAAAACTCAAAATGGCATGTTGGAATTTACAAAAATCCTTTTATTGAGGATTTTTTGTTCTTTAGAAGTCGAGGCTTAACTTTTATAATAAAATGTATCAAAAAATTTCAGGGTTCACTTGTTTTACACAATTGAAAATGCTTTCAAGCAGGATTCATTTACTACTACATTTACATACTTCATACTTTTTAATAATATATCTATCTCATCGTATCGTATCATGAATTCCTTTAGTGTAACTTGATGTTGTCGTGTGGTATCGATGTTTGCTGACCGTATATTCCAGTGTCAGATTAGGATAAGGTGGTTGTATTGATTTGGATTGCTATCTGAAGCGCCATAGACTGATTAATATAAAACTAGCTAATAGGGGGTTTAACATCTGTAGAGAAAAGACTATCAGTCTAGTAACCCGTAGAGGAGTATTTCGAAGGCTTTTCATTTATTAAATCTATTTCGACCATTTACATTTGACGATTCTCTTGTAAGCTATTTTTGATTGTATTTTCAAGTGTTTACTTTAGGTTTGGTTTAATTTATCATATCATTGTTACTTATACTTGAAAATGGACAAATTTATTTTTACTCTTCTATAAAAGTATTTTTCTTAGAAGTTTTACTCAATGTTGGTATAACTAGTATAATCCACAATATCTACACATGTATACCTAATGTAGTGATCAATGTGGTAATAAAAAGTAAAAAAATATTAGTGTTTCATTTCACTCCTCATAGATTCTGTCGCCCTGTAGAATTTTTACAGACTTCTTATGTTGCACACTTGGTGTTTGGGAAATTTGCACTAACGAGGTAGTGTTATTGGGATCTCTTATACATGAAGAGATTAAAGATAATAGTTACACGTTTAGGTAACCAATAGGTACTGATAACTTGCAATATATCTCTAACAAAAGAGGTCTTTTATATTTTGCCAACTGGTTATGACAGTGCGACGTTGCCGCGTCTGCGCACGCTGCTCATGAATAAGAGTCCCTTTGTGACTTGAAACTAGTAGAGCTTCTCTCAATTACTTCATGTAAGTAAGCTATATTTTCAATTAGTTTACTTTTATTCTTATTAATTGCGAATAGAAACAAAGGACATAATACAGATATTCTAATTAATTTTTTGTCAAGAAAGTATCTTAATACTTTTTGAAATGGAATAGAATTAACACTTATTTATTTAATATTATTTCAAGACAGGTGTTGTAGTTACATTTAGTAAAAATGAAATAGAAGCCAACCTGAATATTATAAATAACCCTTGCATGGGAACACATATCACTTTCAACCAGTCCATCTGCAGGTCATTGAAGAAGGCTTATGTTCAGCAAGGAACAGCTAATAAGATGATGATGATGATAATGTCTCGCGTTGTTAATGGACTGTCAATATTTGTAGCTTTGAATATAAAATTGGGTTTTACTAGAATTACTGATTTTTGTTATTGTTAATAACTGTTAACTGTAATCGCACTAATATTATTTATGTGACAGTATCTTTGTTTAAATGTTTGTCCGTCAATCACGGTGAAACTGCTGAATGGATTTTGATGAAATTTGGTTTATGTACAAGCAGAGCATGGGTTGACTTAGGTGATAGGTTACTTTTATTCCGATGAAACTAATCCAGTATTTTAATGGACTAGCAGAGAGAAATGAAAAGCTTTCATTATTATTGTCATTATAAACAACCGGTAAAGTTCACTGTTGTATTATGGATCTCCTCTATAAAAAGGGATGCCATAATCTCTACGCCTGGCATTCCTGGCAAACAGATTGGAGCTCTCAGTTTCAAATTATTATATTTATCAGAGAATGCTGCTGCAATGTCACTGTTTAATGTAATCTGAATTAATTATGTTTTAATTGATCATTTTATGAAATGATTAAATCAATATCAGTTTTTTTTCTGCAAAAGTTTTTAAGCAGGAGTTATCTCCTGCTTAAAACTTTTGATTTAATGGAAAAAACTTTTCGCTATTTACATTATGTTAAATATTGAAAAGTACAGTACAGTGATTTGCAGTTTAGGGAAATTTATACATTTACATTAAGACAATTATTAACAGTAAAATCAACTTCTGTGGTTGAGAATATGTACAATTCTACAATAGGTATAGACTTCAAATCAAGGTATCAATTATTATAGATGGTGTTTGTATAACTTGAAAACAATAAAATTTTATCTATAGCTTTAATGACATGTTATGTATACATCCTACTTATTATCGTACTGTCTTAGTTTTAATAAAATGTTTAAGCCTTTTTCGTTAGTACATTAAATTTGTTACAAAGAAAGCTTGACTGCACGGGTGCCACGGTGTCTTGACAACCGGCTGCCGCAACGTGTATCGCAACGGGTTCTATTCCCACACGGAGCAACTATTTGTGGGATCCACAATTTGTAGTTTCAGGTCTGGATGTCATGTGTATGTGATTTTGTATGTATTAAATGCGAAGGCCGTTAACTAAGCTCTTCCAAAACCCTAAGGAAGAAGAAAAATGTGTTCTTCGTTGTCGTCACCACAGGGCTGAAGGCGTGATGATGTTATATTTATGTAAGCAATAAAATTTTGTAGGTTTTGAAACTTAGTTTTCACTTAAGAATACAAACTGAAACTTTGTAAAAATATGATATAACATCACTGCCTGAATCTTTGAAGGGATAAGTAAAAATTCAGATATATAAAATAAACTCTAAAAGTTATTGGAAGTCCATTATGTTAGTATTTTTATATATTGCATATTATTATATAATATATTTATATTAATATATTTTATTATTGTAGTATATATTTAATATATTTTTAAATATTTTTATAATACCCTTACCGTACTTTCTTGAAAATAAACATATCAAAAATCTATTTTAAAATCTTTTAAACTTAACAAAAAGAGTTTAAAAGTTAGTAATTCAAATAAAACTTAGTTATGACTGTTATTAAAGTAAAATAAAATTTTAACATAAGGGGTCATTTTTAAGTTGCCATATCATTCTATTCGTATCTACCTTCTTCTACGATCTTGGCAAATATCGATTGTCACTCGCTAAATAGGTCGGCCGACATCTTGGAAAATCAATAATCCTCCCTCGTTCAAACCAAGGTCAAACTTTGTGTTCAATCACAAATATCCAACATTAACTTCCACAGTGTACAGCCACCAATAAAAAGCATCACAAAATATTTCTTGCTACTCACACGTTTGAAATTTTCACGAGATTGAAAGAGACAAATGCACTTTCTTTGACTGTGATTTTCTATCTACATTGCTGTGTTACATTGTTAGATGCTTGTCATAGCATTCGTTAGATAGCCAATGTATGTTGAACACTGGCCAACGTTTGATCAAGTGAGGGTGTTTTACGCAACATTCTAAGGGTTGAAACCTGGAGCGTTGTTAGTGGTAAGTTGCAATTGGAAAAAAATATGTTCAGTATTGCGATATATAGAAATTAAAGTCCAGAAACTTTATTGTAACAATATTGGAATATTAGTCTTATTTTATTACGAAATAATTAATATTATGTATTAATGTCCTAAGCAAATATGAGTATGATTATAGTTTCTCATTTACAAATCTTACTAGTGGGTTATTAAAGTTGGCGTTTTGTTAACTTTCAGTAGGTACTGAGCGTTAACATAACGCAGATGCGCGGCATTTCTTAAGCATTTAAATTAATCTTGTTTTTACAAAGCTTTAAATAGAATATATAAATTTCTTTCTCATCGGATGTCGTTAAAAATCCGGTTGGATATGTTTTATAGTCTGTTACTGAGTTCTTTTGAAGGGGTCAGTATTAAATGTAGCCGGTCCAGATGTGATCTTAATATTTCAAGGGTCGTCTTTATAAAGAATGATCATTGTTTGAACGGCCCGTTACATTTATTAAATTTAGAGTTGAATGAGTGTAGATTTACAAATTGCTGGGTCGTAGTTAGCTTGACCCTGTTTGTAATGTATTTATGCAATCGTGGATTTAATATACGGTAAGTAGAAGTAAAAGTTTGCAAAATAGGATCAGTAACATTGAGAGTAAAAACTGTGGTAGCGTTTTAAAGCGTAAATTTATCAAGTTTTTTATAACAAGTAACAATATATTTGTAAAACAATTTATTAATGAACTTCCAGTGTATACACATTCACTTCGCTTACGCTTATTAATTTTAGTAGCTGAAAGTAATATGAAAACATAAAAGCTCGCGAAGATGTATATAGAGGTAATATCTAAACGTAATATCTATCAGACTTGAAGTGAGTTACAGGATAGATACAGATTCAAAATAATATATTCTACAAAAAAAAGTCAATCGTTAATCAAAATATGACACGAAAATTTAAGTCCACTTCAATTTAGTTAATTCTACCTATGCAAATAAAATATGTTGCAGCATTTAATTTTTCTGTATTATTTAATTTTACAAAAACTTATTCTTTATCAAGGCGTAGATAGGAACGCAGTCCGTTTTACACCCTGTTTTACAACCAAGCTTTAAGCTCAGCCAATCAGAAAACCAGAAAATCCATTGCATCGTGGGTTCGGAAAGTGGAAAATCAAAAGCTCTCAAAAGCTTCAATGTACACCGAAAGCTGCGCCAACTTCACTTCGGTTTAGAGGGTGAAAAGTTCTCGATAGAGCTTAGTGCATGCAGGTATGCCCTATAGATTTATACATGCAGGGTAGCAAAGGGAGGGTCGTAAATCAATCGTCGGACTCGGCCTTTCCGTCGGGGGCAGCCGAGCTGAGCAGACGACTTCCGTGACTCCGAGCCAGAGACTCCGTTCCAGCGACTGAGTTCCAGTTCAACGCAATGGCGGACGGCGCTGAGGCGGGCGGCGATGACGCCGCCAGCGACGAAGCTGATAGTAAGTGCTCTTTTTATGAAATTTACGTGATTGTAACTCAATTTTTGTTCCAGGCACTTTCATTTTGCTGTTTTGGCGTCATGGGCGTGACTTTTCTCTTTGTCCAATGGCATCTTATACGCCATTTTGAAGAGAAGTGTTTAATTTATTCAATACTTGTAAAACTAAATGATTTTGCTAATAACTTCAAGTATTTCCAGTTAACTTAAAATTTTTACAACTGGATGGGTGACTTATAAAATATACGTCCCCTTGAAACCATTAATATACTAACGTGAAATATTTGAATCTAAAGGATTTTGATAAAAAAAATCGCAGAAATGAAAAAAAGAGGAAACATGTAGATATTGCCTATTTTCTTAAAATTTTCACATGTGGGCGACAAGTTTAAAAAAATACAGCCTATTAAAATTTAATCTCCAATTCGCTACAATTCAATTGTCTTTAATGTTTTGTTTGGGAAAGCATTTCCAATTTAGTATTTTGGAGATAATGGTATTACGCAAGCAGATAAGATGGCGCCATGAGTGAGGGTTGACCACATTTCCGACGTCCGCGCTCACCATTGTTATTTCTATGAAGCTAATTTGTTTATTATGTGTTTACAGATAAGAAAATGCCAAACCACCTGGACGAGCAACGGCTGTCTAAAGCACCGAAGGTGTATTATTACGCCTTCGAGGGGGTTAAGAAAGTCGCTACGGGTATACTGCCGGACACGGACATGGACTGTGACGGCGACGTGTATCTTGTTGTCGTGCATGAGCCGAAGTTGGATCCATCCA